TATGGTGAAGTTACCAGCGATGCGTTTTTATAGCAAAATGACCATCAGTATATACTTATAGTCCTACCAAGCAATCAAAATGAAAGAACTCTTTCATGGCATTAATTCTAGAATTTTTGAAAGAAATCACACTGTATTCCAAAATATAAGTTCAACAAAACTACAACATAGAACACATATCAGCCTCTAGTAATTATGCCCACATAAACATGTATATGTACAAAAGCAGAGAATCACCTGTCATGTATTCAATTGTGAAAGCAGAATAACATATATCATATTTTTTTATTACTTCAAAGCTCCCAAAAAAATTAAATTTCAGCATTAAATGACCCATAAGGAATTGATATGCCGTTAAACAAACAAATCAAACCACATACTTTTTATTGTCTTTTCTCCTCAATAGCGTTTTCTCAGTTTCCTTTACTCTCGGTAATCCTTTGCGCCTTAGTGGCTTTATTGTCTTGCGTGTGATGAAATCATTTCAAAAAAATAAAGGAAAGATTGATGCTCATACATAAATCTAAGTGTATTTTTGTACATGCGTGTATGAATGTTTACATGAAAATAAGTTTTATGTGAAACTCATAGAGTTGTTCGTCCTGGGTATGACTATATCCGCGTATTTGGTAAGGCGATAAACTACAGCAAGGTCTCTGATTTGGAGGTTTTGAGGATCGTGGAACCACCTCTTAATTGCTGGTGTTCCCAGGTCCACCCTGACCCGGGACCAGCTATGGGCAAGTAGTTGACCAACCCCAAACTGGGGGCAAAAATCTATGAAAGTGTAAAAATAGGTTTTGATAATTACCAGCAATACATTTTTGAGGGAAAAATATTACCAGCAATACATTTTTGAGGGAAAAATATTACCAGCAATACATTTTTGAAGGAAAAAATATTACCAACAATACATTTTTGAGGGAAAAATATTACCAGCAATACATTTTTGAAGGAAAAAAAATATTACCAGCAATACATTTTTGAGGGAAAAATATTACCAGCAATACATTTTTGAAGGAAAAAATATTACCAACAATACATTTTTGAAGGAAAAATATTACCAGCAATACATTTTTGAAGGAAAAAAAATATTACCAGCAATACATTTTTGAGGGAAAAATATTACCAGCAATACATTTTTGAGGGAAAAATATTACCAGCAATACATTTTTGAAGAAAAAAAATATTACCAGCAATACATTTTTGAGGGAAAAATATTACCAGCAATACATTTTTGAGGGAAAAATATTACCAGCAATACATTTTTGAAGGAAAAAAAATATTACCAGCAATACATTTTTGAGGGAAAAATATTACCAGCAATACATTTTTGAGGGAAAAATATTACCAGCAATACATTTTTGAGGGGAAAAATATTACCAGCAATACATTTTTGAAGGAAAAAAAATATTACCAGCAATACATTTTTGAGGGAAAAATATTACCAGCAATACATTTTTGAGGGAAAAATATTACCAGTAATACATTTTTGAGGGAAAAATATTACCAGCAATACATTTTTGAGGGGAAAATATTACCAGCAATACATTTTTGAGGGAAAAATATTACCAGCAATACGTTTTTGAGGGAAAAATATTACCAGCAATACATTTTTGAGGGAAAAATATTACCAGTAATACATTTTTGAGGGAAAAATATTACCAGCAATACGTTTTTGAGGGAAAAATATTACCAGCAATACATTTTTGAGGGAAAAATATTACCAGCAATAAAAATCTTGTCGGCATTAAATAACTCATTGAGGTTGAAAAGCTGTAAAACAAAACAAACCAAACTAATCATAGAATCGTGGAAATTTTTATTCTACAAGTGAATCACGGATTTTGTAAATAAGGACTGTTAAAGCGCGGGAAAGAATCATTTCGCTTGGTTTAGTCTTTAAATCATTTCGCTTGGTTTGGTTTTAAATGACGGGTATCAATGATCAAAAGGCAGAAAACGACCTTTAACATTCAATTCTTCTTGTAAGCCATACAAACACGTACAATGTACAATGAGAGCTGTTTCAACTTGAAGGTACACTATAAATCGATGTGATATCTCATCTTCAGCAATTTATCTCTTATAGTTCTTTCTAAACCTTACAATATTGTGCTACCTTACAGAAATGCTGCAGCTCTTCAAAGTTTTCTTCTTTTTTCTTTCTTTTTTTTACGGGGAGTGATAGAATTTTATTGATAGTGCTTTTAATGTCGTTGCTCAATGTATACACTATGATGATTGTTCGTTCAACGGCCAAAACGTTGCAATAAATATGGCGACAAAGATGAGGACAATAGTCCGAATAATGTAAATAGTGTACATAATGCTTCCTCTCAGACATATAGACAGACTTCTACGGACGTTATTCTTCCATTTAGTATTGATGACAAAATCGTTTCCATAATATTTACTGTTTGTTTTCAAAGCTAGTGATCTAACTCCGATATTACTATCAAGTCCTTTGATTTGGGCTTTTTGGAGATAACATGCGAGGTCTGATCAAAAAGTATCAGGACTAGTGTTATAAAAAGAAAACTACAGCACATATCAGTTTGGCATTTAATCTCCTACGAAGTAGTCCCCTTCTCAAGCTACACACCTTATCCGGCGTTATCTCAAGGTACACACCTTATCCATTGATGGAAGCACCCCGGGAACTCGTTTTTTGAGATACTGTGCAACTGCCACTTGGATTTCCCTGCCTTCAAATATTGTTTCTTTCAACTGTGATTTAATCTTTGAAGAGGAAAATGTCGCAAGGACAATATCTGGGAAATATGGTGGTTGTCGAATGCTGTGATTGACCCAAAATACCTGCACAATTCATGGTCATTAATAGAAAATCTGTAGTCTAGTGAGACGACCACACTCTACACACTTTCCTTCCAGACACTGCCATAAACAACAAAAGTGAGTGAGTGAGCGATAACTTTGTGTGTGTGCGCGACGCAGTTCAAGGACAATATGTGCCATACTGCTTCACTCTGCGCATTTTGCCATAGCAACAGTCCTGATATTTTTTGACCAAGCCTCATATTTCAATATTATAACTGTCAAAATCCCTTGCCAATAATTCCCGTGTTTCTTTTCTCACCAGACCTCTAACAAACTTTAAATGTCCCGATTGTAAAATCTTTATATGTGATTGGAGGCATTTACAAAGTTTTAAATTTCAAGTTGTCAGCTTTTAACGGTTTACAACTGGGGAATTAATTATCTTCGCCGCCAATTAATAATGCTTAAATACAGTTTGTTGTAAAAATCAGTGCAATATAACTTAGTTCATTTTGAAAGTAAGAATTTTTTTCCACGTAATTTAAATTTTTTATACGGCTTGTCATCGACATAAAGACGCATTGATGATCCGATCCTTGCATAGTTCATTTCTGACACCTGATTGATATTCCTGATTATTCTGGCCTTGTGCCAGACTCAGCTAAACTTAGTAAATACTTTTTTGACTGCATTGTGGCTGAAATACGAACATATTCCCTGCTGATGCCAGAGCTCGATATTCGAGCCCAGAATTAAAGGATTTTGAATACTGATTTTCAAGGCAGGCGAGCTACCTTTAGTTGGATAATTGGTAACACAATCTTGTGTTAGGTAACACAATATTCCCATTCGTTGTTTCCCTTCTTTCATCTTTGTTTTCATCTTTGTAAGTATCAAAACCATAGGCCACACTGTCACAGCTCTCTCTCTCTCTCTCTCTCTCTCTCTCTCTCTCTCTCTCTCTCTCTCTCTCTCTCTCTCTCTCTCTCTCTGATAATAGTTGCCTGCGTTCCACTACGGATCCATAATTGCCTGAATATAAGAATATACCATTAAGCCTCAAATAAAAGGATGGGTTGGGGGAAAAAAAGTCTGGTTGTAAAATTCACTCAAAATTCGTTTTTGAAACATAAAAGGTGTGAGAGGAGATTGCAATAAACGGATAAGTTGGAATAAATGGACAGGTTGGAATAAACAGGCAGACTAGAGGAAAAGTAGAAAATAAACGGGTGGGGGGAATAATAATAAACAAGTTGAAACATCGAAGGGAAAAGGGGTAGAGAGAAGGAGAAGATCACTACCTGATTAGCTTGTATGAATGGATGGCGAAATGTTTCTAAGAACTAAAATGGATAGAAAGTCGTGGAGAACCATCGACCACATCCTGAATAGATACGGCACATAGAAGTTAAAAAGAAATAAGATTTACATAGCCGGACGAATAATGATCCTGTATCCGGTTTTTCCCTCTAAGCATTGGTACGCATAGTTTTGTACATTGGTATCGCTAAGTAATCCCCTTAGTGTATATGTATCTGTAGCTTGATTTTCTGGTATTAATTATATTTTAATTAAAAGAAGAGAAATCTAACTAAAAATTCTTCCGTTTTCTTTGTTTATTATTTTTGTGATTATGTCGTGACTGTTTTAACTTCGGCGTCTTTCGCTAACGAGCTTAAATGTCCAGTCTTAACCTCCATTCTTCACAAAACTCAATCAAGCATACACACGGTAGGCAGGTTTTTCTCACATCAAAGAGATTACTCATCGATAAATGGACCTCGATATAACTACACATAAATGAAGAGAAAAAACACCTTTTTGTTTGAGATTGTATTCACAGATCAGGCCAACCACATGTCAATCGAAAGGTGACACGCCTGCTCTGTATTCCGTGACTTCAAGAAATGATTAACACCGGATCAAACTGAAGAGAAGCAAAGTAGACTTCAGAAAATCAGAAATTGTTAATGCAGCAGTTTGAAAAAAATATTAGCATGTTATAATTCTGCTTGTTTCTTCGTTAGTTATCATGCACGTTATAGCCTGACAATATCTCATAAATAATGGACTATTCCGTTTTAATAATTCGGAAAGATAGAAAAGATATATCAGAGACGCTGTTTAGTTTCAGTGAAAGAAAGAAAGTAGTGCCATGCTAATACTTTATCCATAATAAACTCTTTCGTTATTATTGCAAGGAAAAGCGAAAAGATATATCAGTGAAACTGAAAGAAAGAAAGAAAGAAAAAGAAAGAAAGAAAGAAAGAAAGAAAGAAAAAGAAAGAAAGAAAGAATGATCTTGAACCAGTGGAGATTGATTTTAATTGAGTTTCTGTACCGCTTTTTGATCAGCCATGATATATTTTGCAACATAGTCACCCGTGTATAGGAATGCGAGGTTGCTCCACGCTGATGACGTGGCCATTGATTCAATGCTGGTCGAGTCTGCACGATTCAAAATTTCAAGTTTTTTTTTGGTGGGGGGGGGGTATTAATGTTAACCATATATAAAGCACAAAAACCATTCTAAGAAGATGAGTAATGAAGGAGTTTGATGTGTGAGCGGTAATAGTAAGTTTATGATGATATGTGAGAAATTTAAAGGTTAACTTTAGACTCAAGACTAAGGTTAACCGTTAAATTAAGGCTAAGATTGTAATAGTTGAGGAAGCATCTTCTTGATAATGGGTTCATGAGAAGAAGCTGTTTTTAGTGGAACTTACTTCTGACTAATGGAATACGAAGGGAATGGGAGTGGTTCTCTACAGTGTCATTGGTAAAACTGGTAGAACTAAGGAATTCAGTTCGTCTGAAAACTTTACACCGAAATAGCGATAGAGAATCTTGCAACGTTTCGTCTGTGGGAAAGGGTTTGTAAAATGTAAGATAATTCATCACCCACAGGGCCGTGTAGACACTTTTAGTCACTATAAATACTGGAAAGAGTAAACTGGACAATTTCAGCCCAGATATGATAAAAATTTCTTCATTTTCAGACTGATCTGACTCTTGTAGTGATGTGACCCTGACTGTATACAATAATGTATATCTGATTACATTGGAAAAGGAGTAGGTATATCCTGGTCTAGTTGGGTATATGTTAAGTTAACCCATTGTACAACCTGACTTATATCTCGGGTATAAAACAAACCAGCATATAATAGCCTCGGTTAGAAATTGGCTACGATTTTAGGTGAATAGACTAAAATCGGTGAGTAAATAAAAATAGTAATAATAATAATAATATTAAACACCGTGCGGACTGAATTTTATCCAGTCAGGATGAACAGTCGTATTCTCAATGAACTTCATTGCTTATAACATTTAATGGGACTCAACTTCCCACAAGTGGAATTCATATATACGATCCGTCGATAAAGTTCCTTGTGCCACTCTAGGAAGTACCTGACTCATCTTGTTCTATGATCTATCTTTACAAAAGTCAGATCACACAAATGATAAAGTATTTTTGCCATATCTGCAATGTTGTTACCCAATCCTCACTTTTAAATCATCTTCGCGACCTTGTGAGTGATGAATTATTTTCAACCCTTCAACTCCTTTCCCTCAGATGAAACGTCGCAAGCCTCTGTGGTAAAGATTCAGACGCACTACATCCCTTAGTTCCACCACTTGAGACCTTTACGGAAGCCGTCATGACCCCATACACGGTGTTGAATCATTCTCGTTCACTTCGTTTTCTATTGCCAAGAAGAAATTTTATTCAAACATGTTCTTCCAGACAGCCGCTTTGTGAAAACCAACTCCCGAGATGATTCTTCCCCGATCACTAAAATCTTAATCTCTTCAGGTTTAGGGTGAACCGTTATCTATCTTTGCACTTACTTTCTATTCTTACAACTATACAACAACCTCTTTCAGTAATCCTCTACCTTGAGTGACTCTTGCGGTAACATTTAGTAAAAGAAATAAAAATGTGTTGTTTATCTTTTACTTTTTCATCACTTTTAGTTACGAGCATAGAAATTCATATAGGAAAACAAACTTTTTATTATAGAATTCATAAAGGGAAAGGAATTTTTTATTATAGAAAGCATATAGGAAAACACAATCTATTATTATAGAATTCATATACGTAAAGAAAAAATTTTATTATAGAATTCATATAGGAAAACAATTTTTCATTATAGAATTCATATAGGAAAACAAATTTTTATTATAGAATTCATATAAAAAACAATTTATTATTATAGAATTCATATAGGAAAACAAATTCTTTATTATAGAATTCACATAGGAAAACAAATTTTTATCATAGAATTCATATAGGAAAACAATTTTTTATTACAGAATTTATATAAAAACAAATTTTTTATTATAGAATTCATTTAAGAAAACAAAATTTTTATTATAGTTTTCATTTAGGAAAACGAATCTTTTATTATAGAATTCATAAAGGAAAACAAAATTTTTATTATAGATTTCATATAGAAACATGATTTTTTATTATAGCTTGATGGATATTTATGACATTGCGTGCAAACACACATGAACTATTTAACCTTTTCTGGCTCACATCTATACGCTCAATGCTATGGCTCACTAATCTTTACAGCACGACATATAATCCATTACATAGTCCCCGATCTTATCTTTATCTGATGAAAGACTACCATAGCGCAATAGCCAGCGAGCAACTGAACTGTACTGTTTCGTGCAAGAGCCTGTAAACCAATGCACTTCAACTGGCGTTCGACTTTAATGATCTCTCTGCTCTAGGTTGAGTCTATTTACAAGGCTTTATTTACGGAACTTTCAATTGGAAATAACTTGCTTTAGATTTTAAAAAAAACTAGCACGCTGACCACTGTTCTATGACGAATATTTAAAGCAGAATATAATCTGATGTGTAGATAGATTATCTTCCTGTCTTTTGTAAATCGCAATGTTAACTTTTATTACACAGTATAATATCACAGGATAGGTCGGAAGGAATGCGATGATTGGAGGAAAATAAATGGAATATGGTGCCGAACTCATCTCTTTTTCTGATTCGTTGTTCATTAGAGATATAAATAGTCGAGATTTTGATGGAAGAAACGACGAAAAGAAATGTTATTTGAACACCCGTCAAAGAAGATTTCAAAAGTAACTTGTAACGATTTATCTTGAAAATGGATAAAATTTGGTATCAAGTACCTACAGAAAAAGAGTTTAACTCGCAAGGATATTAATGCCGGGATAGTTACTACATTAGTTGTTCCAGATTTCTCAACAGTGCAAAAGTGGGCGGCTGAATTTAGTTAGCGGGAGAAGGGAGAGTCTTGAAGATGACGCAATGCCTGAACCTCTTGTAACTGCCACAACCAAGGAACACATAGGTCGTGTTCACTATATGGGGAGAGATGATTGGCGATTGACTATAAATCAAATAGCCAATGTTATTAGCATATCCTGTGATAGAATTGATAATATTCCGTACAATTCTCTTGACATGTCGAAGGTTTCTGCACCAGTCTGATCACATCACGGGAAAGCCTAACATTATTTGAGGCAGATCCAACTAGTTTCCCGGAAAGTTTTCTAACCCAGAATGAGTGTTCATCACTTTGAGTCAGAGACAGACAATCCATGCAGTAGAAACATGTTTATTCACCTACGCCAAAGAAGGTAGTGGCTTCAGTTTTTTGGAATGCAAAAGACGTTGTGTTTATTGACTATCTTCAAATGGGCCACACCATCAATGGAGAGTACTATTCCAACTTGATTAAGTAATTACGATAGGCTATAATGACCAAACGGCCAGGAAAACCGACAAAAGTATTCTTGTTTCATAAAGACAATGACTCGGCCTCTTGTTTCAATGGCTACTGTGCTACTTTAAACTTGTTGACTACCCTCCCTATTCTCGGGATTTGACTATGATCTGTTCCCCAACATGAAAAACACTTGATTGGGAGCCACTATCACAGTGATGATGACGTTATATCTACTGCTGATGACCAAGAGGTGTAGAATTTTCTTTGATCAGTCAGTTTATCTTGAAAGAAACAATGCAGTTATTAATAAGTTGGAAATAGTGTATGCAAGATTTCATAGCACCACTCCTTCATAGTCAACCTATGAACTTTTCATCCCACCCTCATAGATCCAGTTTCCTACTATTCAACCCTTGGTCCTGCCTTGATTGGTTTACTCATTGTTTATAGCAGTGAAATACGTAATTACTTCACGAACAGCCTAATTTATAAATGTGTAGAAATTTAGATATAAATAAAATATTTACACTATTTACATTGTTCTGACTGTTGTCTTCATCTTTGTTGCCATATTACACAAGGACACATGGCCCAGCGAATAAAAGCGTTGGTTGAAGTAATCCAGTGACTTGGTCCAAAGAGTTGTGACTTCAATACCCGGCCACGGCAGAGGGGTACAAAAAATTGGAGAGTTGAGTTAAAGGGACATAATTGAAACTGTGATATCTGATACGTCGAACTAGAATAATCTACCCCGTTAGACGAAAGGATTCGGTTCGATATTCCAATCACCTGACGAAGGTCGGAGCGTGCAACGACCGAAACGTCATGAATATGAAAACAAAGATGAGGAGAACAGACCGAACAATGTAAATAGTGTAAATAATTACAATACCCCATCTCAGAAAACTGAACAGATAAATAAAATATATCTGTAAATATACAATAGGAATAAGGTCAAACAAGAAAACTTGTATATATAGATGTGTGTGTGTGTGTGTGTGTGTGTGTGTGTGTGTGTGTGTGTGTGTGTGTGTGTGTGTGTGTAAATATGAAAGTGGAAATTGATGTCAGCACCAAGAGGTGACAATCTGTTTCATGCTTGAACGCAATCTTCACGCCATACACACACACACACACACACATATATATATATATATATATATATATATGAGTTTTGTGTGTGTGTGTACCTAGTATATTTATATATGTCTAATACATACATACACACACACACACACATATATATATATATATATATATATATATATAATACTTGGGTCGAGGTAGTATATGATTTACTGCTTTTATTAGCAAAGCTCAATTGCTTATTTTCCACTTCAACGTACACTGTTATTTCTACCTCTACCTCTCTATCGCTCTTTCATAGATAGATAGATAGATAGATAGATAGATAGATAGATAGATAGATAGATAGATATTGTGATTGATCAAAACAGCAAACAAGGATGAGCTTTAAAAAAACAAAAATCTCCTCCCTAACGACAAACTTTGCCACATTTTCTCTCCAAAATAATTAATAAAAAAAAATGTCGAAACGCTCATAAACCAATTCTTTGATACATCTCAACAAATAGACCGACTTTTCAGCGCCACTGGTGCGTGTGTCGTTTGCTAGCGATAAGACTGCGTCGACAACACAAAAATGGCCGTCGCTACGCTCGCTACGTTCGCATGCCATCTGCAGTATGGCCACAGATGTTCTGTTACAAGATCTGATAACACTGGGGACCTTTTATGGCAAGATGCTCATTCATTGAATCAGAGCTTGTCAAGCGGTGACATTTGTGTTGTTGAGTTTCTTCCTGCATATATCTTGTGAAGACCATAGCCAGAATCTCCACAGAAACTGCTGCGGTTTCAGTAGAGTTTTACCGTGTCATACGCCCAAATCTTAAGGTTTTAATTCAGTGTTATCCCTCTCCTAGGCTGGTTTCTGCCAACGGCTAGAGAATCCAGTTTGTCCTGGGTAGAAAGGAACAGGTGTTATTCTTTTCTTTAGGGTAATGAAGATTTAACGCTTTCCATTTTCCCATCAGTTAATTGTTAGGCAACATGCAAATCCGTCTCAGTGGCATTAGGAGATTGTGAAGACTTTAGTGAAGAGAAAGGACAATAAAAGAACAGCATTCATGAAGACAGAAGATGACGATTGATGTTGCATTTAAATATTTGATGATTGTAGGTGGCAGGGAAGCAAGAAACCGGGAGCGAGTTCCACATGTGAGAAGTGCGAGAAAGGAAACTATTAGAATAGAACTTACAGTTGCATCTACCTAATTCAACAGGAAAACGATGAGACCTAATTGCCAATCTAGTAGTGCGCTTAAATTCATGGGTTCCAAATATTTAGGACAGCCATGAAAAATTTTAATAGAAAAGACGGAGAGAAGCCACGTCACGGCGGATGGAAAGGGACTGAAGTCACGATAACATTACAAAATTTTGGGGGGATTTTGTCGAGAAAATCGAGATTTATAACAGGCGCACCACACGAAATATGACAAAATATCTAATGCAAGGATGAATGGTAGAATTATAACTGTGTGATGTAATGAATATGCATACACCTGGGTCGCCCCTCACAGTAATATGATTGGCTGGTGTCAGCCATAAATACAGACTGATGTGGAGGTACATTGGTCTAAGCCTATTGTCTATGCCCATTGCCTACGACTATTGCCTAAGCATATTGCCTACGACTACGACGAGTACCAGTCTATTATGTCTACCTGCTAGATTGTCCTACCCGGTTACAGTAACCAAAACCACTTAGTTACATCGAACAAATATATCCCTTTCCGGGACATATCACTGTGTAAGACGGATTCTGGCGAGAAAGATTTTCTGAAACAACACTGTGAACGAACGACAACCTTCATTACACGATTTGTTAAGAACAATTTTAAAGCGAAATATTCGTCCAGAGAAAATACAGCCCATGAGCTTGTGGAGTGTGGAGAAGACCAGCATGCCAAACCCTGTCTAACGCCTTCAAGATATCTGAAGCCATAGCCCGATCCTCCCCTTTCTTGCGTATTTCAATGATTACATCATTGCAGATTTGTACTCCTTGCTAATCACTGATATCTGATACCGCACGCAAATTATGAAGAAGCGAATCAGTGAGCCGAGTTCGAATTCCGACTGAAACATCTTTTGTTCTAAAACAGACCTTGGGTAAATGATGTACCTATTTGTCTCCCCAGCTATGGAAAAAAATGGCTGTTTGGCTTTTTTCTATTTATTTATTTTTAATCAATTCACCTCAAGCAAGGTGATAATGCTACTAAGGCGCAAGGGGGTTACTGGGAGTGAAAAGAGAATAAAAAGACGTTAGAAGGAACCAGAAACCCAATTCTAGACAGGAAACAAGGGATAAAATATGTTCTACTCTTATTCAAAAGAGCGGGCCGCGCTTGTGGATTTAATGCCAACCGCTGTTTTGATTATTTAATACCAAAACTCAATGTATGAGTCGACATAAGTCGTGTTTATATTCGAGTTTATAAATCTGGAGGTCAAATGCATGTCGTATCGGAAAACTAGACATCAGCTTTGGTTATACTTGATTCCATAGGTGGAAAGAGATCAGGTTTATACTTGAGTCTTCATGTATCCGACGTATTCTAAGTCTCCTTGGACGGTTAGTGAGGATAAATGGTAGGGCAGTTGGTGTCTGTAAGGCGGTCCAATTTTGATGTTGAGCGAGCAACTGAAACTGCAGCAACTCCACTTGGTGTGGCTGCGAACCTTTGATTCAGAAGGTATCAACGGAAATAAGCAAACAATTCTGTCTTTGAACGTTTACACAGGAATTAATAAAAGCCTTACGATAACTGCTGGGCATTTGTGTCGGCTCTTTTAAACTCCAATGATTCTGTGTTGTTTTGTTTTTTTGTTTTGTTTGTTTTGTAACTATACTGCTACCTCTGTTACATTGAAATAAATTAGAAAGTAGCTTTCAACGTAGTCGTATCTTAAGTGCCAAAAAAGCAAGATTCATATACATTTGTCTCAGACATCAGAACGTACGCCGGAAATACTTTTTATAGGGCAACTGGATCTATTATTGCCTTAATTCTGCACAAAGCCACAAGTCTGGAATAGTCAATGAAAATCAAACTCTACGAGATAGATAGATAGATAGATAGATAGAAACAGATTGAAATAGAAAGAAAGAAAAAGAAACAGACTGAAAAAGAAAGAAAGAACAAAAGAAAGAAAAAAGAAAAAGAGAAACAGATTGAAATCGAAAAAACAAACTGATATATAAAGAAAGAAAGAAAGAAAGAAAGAAAGAAAGACTGAAATAGATAGATAGATAGATAGATAGATAGATAGATAGATAGATAGAAACAGGTTGAAATAGAAAGGAAGAAAAAAAGATTGAAAAAGAAAGAAAAACGAAAGAAAGAAAAAATAGAAATAGATTGAAATAGAAAAAACAAACTGACATAGAAAGAAAGAAAGAAAGAAAGAGAGATAGATAGATAGATAGATAGATAGATAGATAGATAGATAGATAGATAGATAGATAGATAATGGACAGAAATAAGCCTAACTTAATATTTTCTCATAAATAAAGCTGTGAACTATTGTATGTTGTATGCTGCTCTCACAAGACATGAATATTAATGTTCAGGTAAATATCCCACAGTGATGCCGTTTCTCTGGGAAGATGGTAGGAATAAAATCAGAATTATAAATAAAGAATGTACTTTTAATGTATTTTAATTGCTTCCCATTGTATTCCCCAAGTGATAATTTGTATCATTGCGTGTATGAACACAATAATGATTGCCTACTTTGTTCTCTTATTTCTTATAAACAAAACTCAAAGAAACAACACTGTAATTACCAGTTAATAGTCCTGGAGTTATCTGTTATACTGGAACACACCTATTCTATAGTTAATAGACTCTCCCACCTATAATAAGTAGGAGTAGTAGCAGTCGCTATAGGGCACAGTGAGTTGGTCAGTCAGTCGATGTCGGACGACCGTTAGTCGGATACTAAAAGTATCAGCGACCACAACTAGATTTACTCTGCGTCATTACCTATTATATCAAGTTCCTAACGTTTTGTACGTCGAACCTATTTTAGGACCGACTTAGTACAAATACAAGCCTCTACTGTGAAACTACTCTACAACATTATCTCACTTAAACAGACGTTTTTCTATCAATTTATAGGAAAGGTATTAGTATAATCCGTAACCTTTACTAGTAACAAATAGTCTGAATGCGGATAGCCGGTGAATGCTAGGCCATCTATTCACATTTGAAGAAACGACTTGAAGCGACGGAATATCTTGGTCTGAACATGCGGGCAACAAGGAAGTTTTAAGAAAAATAGAAATTAAAGGGACACTTATAATTGAAATCAGAAAGAGACGTTTAAAAATTTCCGAAACACATACTGAATTCAAGAGAAGCAGAGTGAAACTGCGAATAAACTACTTAACGAGTTCGTATGAACGGATAGCAGAAGGATAAAGTCGGGTAGTAAAGAGTCGAAATTTACTAAGTGCAACCAAAGAGAGGAAGTTGTGAAGAGTCGTCATCGGCTTCGTCCTGAGAGGACAGGATACATAGAAAAAACACTTCCTTAATTTAAAATTACTCAAAGACCGGTGACTCTATATACCAGGAATTGAATTATTCCTCAAGATAGTATATTTTAACTGTATTTTTCTAATAAAAATTGCGTTAAGTTGTGCTGTTTTTGCTGTATTACAATAACAAACATTCAGAAATTGGATCATTATGGTATATATATTTTATCACATTACCATTAATTATTGATCAATAAAATGTTTTAAACCCGTTGACAGTGAGATAGATTGTCTGTTGCTTCTGCATGCGATGGAAAATAAATTTATTCCCTACTGAGTGATCGCGAAAATATCCTCGTATCAAATTTAATTTAGTCTAAGTTAATCAAATATATATAAATATAAGAAATAGTTCACTGGCCAAGCATCAAAATACTGGTTTTGGTTAGTGGGTTGGGACGAGCAAAAATTTTAAACACGCCTTCATATAAACATATACAGGGTTGGACAAAATAATGGAAACACCTAGAATCATTTTATCATAATTTTGAAACTCCTATAAAACAATCAAACTTTTGTTATTTTTATGTTTGCTTGATTATTATTAATTTTTCTTATCTTCTTTTACTAAAATTGTTGCTTTTGTACAGATACCATCAGAAGAAATTAATCAAAATTCATTAAAATAGCAGATCTATCAGATTTTAAAAGAGGTCAAATTGTTGGTGCTCGTATATGGAAGGCGCTAGTGTAACAAAAAACGCTGAATTATTTGGTGTAGCAAAGAGTACTGTCTCGAATATAATGACAGCATTTGAGAAAGAAGGAAAAACCTCCTCACTGAAGCAAAACTCTGGAATAAAGCGAAAGCTGTCTGATAGGGACCGTCGGACTTTTACGCGGATTGTTAGGAAGGATCACAAGAATACAGCTCCGAAAATTACAGCAGAGCTTAATGACCATTTTGAGAACCCAGTTTCCTCAGAAATTCTAAGAAGGAAGCTAAACAATGCCAGATTTCACGTGAAGGCTGCAATCAGAAAACCCCTCCTTTCACAAAGCAATATTGCAAAGCGTTTAGAGTGGAATCGAAACCTTTACAACTGGTGCCTAGAACAGTGGAAGAATGTTATTTTCTCAGATGAGTTATTTTTTACCTTATTTCCGACATCTGGTCGAGTATACGTATGAAAACAGCCTAAAGAAACATTTGATCCAGACTGTCTCCTTCCAACTTTTAAACATGGAGGAGGCTATGTGGTGATCTGGGAGGGGGGCTATATCTTGGAAATCTGCCAGTCTAATGGTTTTCCCTTCATGGCAGGAACAAAAGTCAAGACAATTTTAAAATTTTATCAGATCAAATTCATCCTATGGTCCCGGAATTGTTTCCGGAGGGAAACTCAATCTTTCAGGATGATAATGCACCAATTCACACAGTTAAAATTGTCTCTGAGTGGCAAGAAGAACGTTCTAGTCAAGTAGAACTTATCTGGCAAACATAGTCCCCAGATTTCAATATTATTGAAAATTTATGGTGCATTTTAGAAAAACAAGTAAGGAGTCGATATCCCCCACCATCACTGAAAGAACTTGAGACTGTTTTAGCAGAAGAATGGACAAAGATTCCTCTGGAAACCATTCAAGCTGTGTATGAGTCGATACCTCGTAGAATTCAAGCTGTAATTACTGCCAAAGACGGTCCTACACCATATTAAAATAAATTTATTTGAAATTTTCAGATGTTTCCATTATTTTGTTCAATATATATATATATATATATATATATATATATATATATATATATATATATATATATATATATATATATATATATATATATATATATATATATATATAGTATAATGAGAAGCCACGAATACTTTTTTAATATGTATATATAGAAAAGTTGCAAATTAAAAAAATAATAATATTTTTATGAAAGTATTTATTTATTTATATATATATATATATATTTGATATTTCAGATTGACCTCATATAAACAAGTGTTAAATAAAGACCTGGGTATTTTAAATTTTTATAAATATTTCAATAGTTAAACATTTTTTTAGATATAGTTAAAAAAAAAAATTTATTTTTTTAAACAACATCTAAAATATTATTACAGTTAGATTTACGTTAGGAATATTCGAACACAGTGACGTTCCATATCACGTGACGTCTGCATCTCGCGACGGACGCTACTTGTAAACAAACAGTTATTTCTGAAGAAAGATTGAGGTCAATCTGAAATATCAAATATATATATAAATAAATAAATACTTTCATAAAAAAACATTATTATTTTTTTAATTTGCAACTTTTTATATATATATATATATATATATATATATATATATATATATATATATAATGTTTTTTATGAAAGTAAAACTATATATATATATATATATATATATATATATATATATATATATATATAGTTAGTTAGTTAGTTAGTTAGTTAATGAAGTTATTTGGTAATCCGTATGGATAATTCCAAGGAGGATGTAATCCAGAGAGCTCAGTTTAAAAACAAAGCAAATATTAATTATATTAAGAGACGGGCAACTTTAAGGGTTCATGGGATTATAATTTATTTCCTTAGAACTGGGATTTTGTCCTAATTTTTCAGACCTCCATTTTCATACATATATATAGTCACTAAATTAATAAAAAGTATAAACAACTTATCTTTCACTCGACTTTAGAGTTTCTAAGACACACCGCTTATCAGGGTCAAATAAATCTATTGAATCATTACCAGATATCATATTTATACTCTGTATGCAAAACGCTCATCATAGACTCCTTACCAATTTTAAATTTACGCTATGATCAAATCCGTTAGGAAAATGACATCATTTAAATATTCAAAACTAGTAATATTGAACCTTCTTCCACTATGAATATAGCAAAATAAAAAGAAATATGTGTGTGCATTTGTGTGTATGCGTGTGTGTGCGTACGTGCATGCTTGATTTATTGTGTGTGTATGTCTATTTGTTTATATACATGGTAATTTTTAAATACAGGTAAATTATTTACGGGTGCAGTCATTCTCGAGTTAACACACTGATTCGTTTGGGCTATACAATCTTTTTGTGTGAGACACGGTCGTCACAACAACAGCGTTGCAATTTTTACCTTTTTTTAATCAATGCATATCAATGACCGTCGCGTTCTCTCTATCTCTCTCACCCTCTCTATCTCTCTACTTTTCTCTCTTTCTTTTCTATCATTTCGCCCTAATCTTTTCTCTATTGCCTCTCTCTCTCTTTCTCTCTCTCTCTCTCTCTCTCTCTCTCTCTCTCTCTCTCTCTCTCTCTCTCTCTTCATAGCTCTCCCTGCCCTTTCTCTATTTCTTTCTTTCTACCTCTCTTTCTCCTGACTTTTGTTTTCTCATTGCCTCTTCCTCATTCTCCTGGTCCTTTCTTTCTCTCTCTCTCTCTCTCGCTTTCTTTCCCCATTTGCCCATACCCCCTCTCACTTTCTCTTTTTCCCTGCCTATTTCTCTCTCCGTCTCTTTCTTTTCATGATTTTCCACCCACTTCTAACTTTTCTCATCTCTCTCTCTCTCTCTCTTTCTCTCTCTCTCTCTCAATCTATGCATCTTTCTCTCTCTAAATCTTTCTTTCTCCTTCTTTCTCTCCCAACATTCTTTTTCTCTCTCCCTGCGTCTTCCTTTCTCTCTTCCTTTCTCCCTCTGTTCCATTCTCTTCTTTTGTTCTCTCTCTTCCTGTTTATCTCTCTCTTCCTGTTTATCTCTCTCTTCCTGTTTATCTCTCTCTGTCTCTTCCTTTCTCTCTAACTCTTTCTTTCTCTCTCTATATCCTTCCCTTTCTGCATCAACTCTCCCTTCCGCTTTCTCCCCCACCCCTCTTTCTCTGTCTTAATACAATGGAAATAAAAGCTCCAATTTAAAAGACTGCAAAGTAACTCTCTTCAGTCTAATATCACGGTGGGAATAAAGCAAGTTATCAACAACTTAATCAGGAATGACAAAATCAGATGTAGTGAAGCCTTTGTAATGTAGATACCAGATGTGACAAACCAGTTTGTTCACAACATAAGCGTTTCGATAAAGATAAATTTAAAATAACTGACAAATGGATTACCACAAATAAATAGCTAATATTAAAGAGCTAAATAATGATTCCTAAGGCTTTTCAATAGATGGCGGTTTAAATACGTGATTTTGTTCCCCACGTAGCTGAAATTTATGACATATACTGAAAGGCGTCTATACGATTCATGTGTGGATTATGAATTGTAAATGCTTTTTTATATATTAAAAGTGAAAATCGAGAAAAACGAGATGCATTTTCGACATTTGATGCTCTTCTTTCAAGAAAGAGAACTTACTGTACAAATAGTTAAAAGTAAAATGTGCCGTTTTTTGTGAAGGTGCCATAGCTGAGAGTACTGTGTGTGTCTTTCACTAGGTTCAGAAGAAGAAATTTTCATCTCGGAAACCGGCAACGTTCTGGCAGGTTTCCAGCCGTTGATGATAACCAAAATAACATAATCCTAATCACACAACACCTGATATCTCAGAGATAATCCAACTATGAGCGTTGTAAGGCATTTCAAAACACTTCTATACGTGAATTTTTACGTAGTTTGGGGAGCCTAACGACTTAATAGGGAAATATATTAATAGACCGCATTTTTATCTGCGGTTATCAAATCAAATGCAACACAAATGACCCATTGTTTTTAAAAGAACGACCACAAGCGATGAAAAATGGAATGTTTACAACAGAATCAGTCCGTGGGAAAACGAAATGAGCCACCGTTCACCGTTAACCACCCCAAAATCCAGTTTGCATCCGAAGAAGTATTTAGTATATTCGGTAAGCTGAATTCGATTTTTTTTTAATAATTGTTATAGTGTTTTCCCTCTAATGAGTCTATTATGGACACTTACCATAAAGTAGCAGGAAAAGTAAGCCTCGGCTGTGACTATTCGCAGCTTAGCGTGTAAATCCCTCCTTGGAGGGGTTTCTAACGCAGGCTTATCATCTCTCAGTTGCGTCTCTGTCTTTGGGTAGAGTGCGCTCAGGGGCTTCTCTGACAAAGGACAGAGAGGCAACTGAGAAAATTATACTGAGAGTTGCCCAGCCCTGGGGAACAACTGCTCGTGGCCGCGCCCTCCCATTGCACCAGAGGGAGGGAGGGATCGTTGCGGCGGCTGTGGGCAATTTTTGTCCCTTGCTCGGGTGTACGCGCTCGGGTCCCCACTTTAAAAAGACCTTGTGTCACATCTCGTCCTCGTGGGGGAACGAGTAAACACCGTAACTGTT